GGGCGTGTCCCAGGGGCAGAGGTGGGCGTGTCCCGGGGGCGGAGGTGGGCGTGTCCCAGGGCAGAGGCGGTGATGTGAGAGGGAGGCCGGACGTGAGGCCCACAGATGTTTCCAGGCGCAGAGCCAGTCAAGTTGAAACACGTTTATTGGCTGTTTGTAAAGACCGCTGTGCGCAGGCGCCACACAGAGTGAGTCACTCCCACACAGGAACTCAGTGACATTAGGCAACACCCACCATCAAACCACTCGCCCACTCGGGTCGGAAGGCCACGCGAAGGTGCATCAAGTACATTCAGCTCCAGCGGCCTGCTGCCCGCTCGGCCCCCCACCCGGCGTTTACAGCGACAGAGCCCGGCCCACGCAGCACCCACTGACCCGGGGGAAGCGGAGATGGACGGAGGGCACGGGGACCAGAGTCACCCGAGGGCGAGTCCTGGGATGGGGTCGGGGACCAGAGTCACCCGCGGGCGAGTCCTGGGATGGGGTCGGGGACCAGAGTCACCTGAGGGCGAGTGCTGGGATGGGGTCGGGCAGGTGGCCCCGCTCAGCCCTGCACTGGTTTGGGGAAGCGTGAGCTCCCAGGCTCAGACCTGTCCCAGGGGGACGTGGCCACACTGCCCTCGCTCCAACCTCAGGTGTGAGGCCGGCCCCGCTGGGAGTCGGGACAGGCCGGGGCCACCTGGCGGCTGGTCCCCGGAGGCCTCCCTGCACCTCAACGTTGGAAGGACAGCAGGAGCGGAGGGTGTGAGGGAGGCGGGGGGAGGGCGGCGGCCAGACAGGACGAGCCGCTCACACTCAGTGGGACTCTGGTGAACGGAGGACCCGGACTCGCGAAGGCTCCGCGGGCCGCACGCCACATGCGCACCTGCCTCTGACCAGGACACTTCCTCCCCCCTCAGCCCACCTGCCAGGGCACCTGAGCCTCTGCGCTCCGGGCACCTGCTGGTCAGGTTCCTGCTTTTTCTCTGCCCCAGACCCTGTTCCCTGGCGGCCGTGGCTGTTCCTGGCGGCCGTGAAGTCCCTCTTGTGCAATCTCACCAGGAGCCGACAGGCGGCCAGGAGCCGGCCTGGAGGGCAATGCCATCGGGAGGCCACTGAGGTCTCCGCTCGGCTGGAGGCTGAGGCCTGAGCCAC